GGCTGGAGCCCGGGGCGGGGGGGCCCGCAGCCTGCGCCGCTCCCTGGCCCCGGGCGCCCGCCTCACGCCGCTGCTCTCTCCCCGCAGGGCACCTTCTCGCTCATCATTGAAGCCTGGCACGCGCCGGCCAACTACCTCCCGCAAGGTGAGCACGGGGGCGGCGGGTGCCAACGCTTCTGGTTGGGTTGTGGGTTTTGTTTTGTTTTTCCTTGGGGGGGGGAGGCGGCTGCCTTTCCGTAATTAAAGAAAATAATGGACTCGCGCTGACTGAATGCAGAGGCCCGGCCCTGCCCGCAGCAGCCAGCCCAGCCCTGCACAGCTCTTGCTTTCATAGCACAGAAAATGCGGGTGGGAAGGGAGTCCAGTCCAACCCGGCTCGGAAGAGGACCAGCCCCCACTAGATTATCCCAGCCAGGGCTTTGTCTACCGAGGCTTCAACACCTCCCAAGGATGGAGATGCCACCACCTCTCTGAGCAGCCTGCCCTAGTGCTTCGCTGCCCTCCTAGTAACAAAGTTCTTCCTAGTATCTAACCTCAACTTCCCCTGGCTGCAACTTTTATAGTGTGTGTGTGTCCATGCATGTGTGTGTCCGTCCCCTACCTAATCTCCCAACACAATTGCGTTTCCTCCCGTTTATTTTTGGCGTGGGAAAGCGCGGCGCTGTTTGGTGAGAAAGCGACAAGGCTGCCAAAAAAACAAAAGAGAGCCTGACCACCTCTTCCTGTAGTTTACACCTTGTAACAAATGCCGCCCTTCTGAAAAAGGAAGAATGGCCTGGGGGTGTTTTGTGGGGGAGGAGGATTTTTCCCTGCCAGAGAGGAAGAGTCTCTCTCTCTCTCTCCTGCCCGTCTCCCTTGGAAAAAGCTTCCTGCAAAGCCTCTTGAGCCTGGGGTTAATAATCACTGCTAGTGGGGACAAGATTTCCTCTTAGTTTTTATACTCTCAGACAGCCCTGGGTGTTTTAGATACAATGGTATATGGCAGGGGTTGCTCCTGCTCCCATGCCTTGGCAAGGCCCAGCTACTCACTGCCACCAGCAGCACAGGCTGGGTGCACTGTGCAGTGGAGCAGGCTGTGGGAGGTGTACGCATCCCATCAGAGAGTGTGGGGAGAGGGTGCAATGTAGAAAAGGTGGCTGACCCTGCCCCCAGCCACCTGGCCTGTGCTGAGTGTGGGTACCCCTGCTGTAGGCTCCCAACCACCGCCTGAGGATGGGCTGATTAGCCAGATGGCAATCCAGCGCCCGCTAGCCGTGGGTGAAGAGTGGTCACAGGATGTACAGAGCGGGCCACAGACCCAGCTGCGCTACTCCTACCGTGTCATCTGTAGCGACAACTACTATGGCGACAGCTGCTCACGCCTCTGCAAGCGCCGTGACGACCGCTTCGGCCACTACGTGTGCGAGTCCGATGGCAGCCTGGCTTGCCTGCCTGGCTGGGCCGGCGAGTACTGCACAGAGCGTGAGTGCGCGGACACTGCTGGGGCCTTACCACTGTCACAGGGTGGGGGGTGGCTCTACCCCCGACCGGGTGGGTGGAATCCAGAGTGACTCCTCCATGCTTTGGAATGCTCCACCGGGGGTGGTGACAGCACGGCAGAGTGGTATCAGGCTTGACCACCTCAAGTCTGCAGAGAACAGAGGGCAGGAGGGACCAAGCCCTGTAACTCCCTCCCCCACCGCCACAGTGACATGAGGCCTGCACTCCCAAATAGCAGTGGCTCATGCTCCCCTCTCTGCTACCCTCCCAGCACATGGGCCAGCAGTGGAGGTAATATAGAGGGCAGGCAAACTTTAGTATTATGGCTGCAGCCTCTGAGCTGGCATCTGTTGGGACAAGAGGCAAAGTAAAAGACATCCGTGTCCCTGTCAGATGTCACACTCCAATTTCCCTTCCTATGACTAGAGTCCCTATGATCTGCATTTGTAAAACAACATTATGCAGCATAGAGTAGGCAGCCGTGGGACTTGGTATGTATTAGTACACCTGGCAGTATGGTTTTGTCTCAACTTTTCTGCATGGTGGTTTTTTTTTTTTTTTTTTTTTTTT